TTTGAAAAATGGCAGAAAAAGTATGTAAAATATTACATCTTTGGAGTTAGGTGACAATTATTGTACAGGTGCAGCCTAGCCAGTATTGATTTATCATTACTATTATTACAGACTATAAAAGGAAATGTTTATTGATTCAAATGTTTATTTTGTCAACAACACAAATTATTTGGAACTAAGGAGAGCTCTTACAGCATCCCTCTATAGCAATGGTTTAATTTTTACCTACAACACTAGTTATTCGTAACTAAGGAGAGCTTCTGCAGTATCTCTCTATAGCAGCGGTTTAATTTTTACCTACAACACTAGTTATTCGTAACTAAGGAGAGCTTCTGCAGTATCCCTCTATAGCAACGGTTTTATTTTTACCTACAACACTAGTTATTCGTAACTAAGGAGAGCTTCTGCAGTATCTCTCTATAGCAACGGTTTTATTTTTACCTACAACACTAGTTATTCGTAACTAAATAGAGCTTCTGCAGTATCCCTCTATCATAACTAAGGAGAGCTTCTGCAGTATCCCTCTATAGCAATGGTTTAATTTTTACCTACAACACTAGTTATTCGTAACTAAGGAGAGCTTCTGCAGTATCTCTCTATAGCAGCGGTTTAATTTTTACCTACAACACTAGCTATTCGTAACTAAGGAGAGCTTCTGCAGTATCCCTCTATAGCAACGGTTTTATTTTTACCTACAACACTAGTTATTCGTAACTAAGGAGAGTCTCTGCAGTATCTCTCTATAGCAACGGTTTAATTTTTACCTACAACACTAGTTATTCGTAACTAAGGAGAGCTTCTGCAGTATCCCTCTATAGCAACGGTTTAATTTTTACCTACAACACTAGTTATTCGTAACTAAGGAGAGTCTCTGCAGTATCTCTCTATAGCAACGGTTATATTTTTACCTACAACACTAGCTATTCGTAACTAAGGAGAGCTTCTGCAGTATCCCTCTATAGCAACGGTTTTATTTTTACCTACAACACTAGTTATTCGTAACTAAGGAGAGTCTCTGCAGTATCTCTCTATAGCAACGGTTTAATTTTTACCTACAACACTAGTTATTCGTAACTAAGAAGAGCTTCTGCAGTATCCCTCTATAGCAACGGTTTAATTTTTACCTACAACACTAG